GTTCCGATAAATAATATTGAATTTAAGCGAAATGGAGACTTATAAAGTATATCATGTTACGAAGATCTATCGTAGAGTGTTTAATTACCTAAAGCAATCATTACAATCTGAACCCCATTGAAAATATGAATTCTGTTAATATTAACACTAATGTAATAGGCAGAAGGAGGCGGGTCAGATCCTATAAAGTATATAGCGTATCTGAGTCGATGTAGCCCCAAATATCTGGATTCTATAAAGTGTAGTTTGTTTTTATGTCTGTATAACAATTCTCGTTTTAATGTTATGGATTATAAATTATGATTCTTACATCTTTAGACCTAGAATCTCCGAAGATCGTATATCTATATATTCATCTATATATTTAAATAATCAGATTGTGAGATTATTACTCAATTTTCTACTGATCATAGGAAAATGATATTTAAGAACCGATCTCAATAGGAACAGATGGAACAGTCCTTTTTATATCTGTGAGTGTATGTCTCTGTTTGTAAGTACGTATGTAGGGCTTGCGAATTGTTTATTGCTTATTATGTGAAACATACATGCATACGCATATTTGTCACTGCCTGTTTTATGTGTAGAATAAGAGGAAGAAATGCGAATTTTAATCAGCTTTGGCTGCGCGTTTCATGCTGTGCATTATCCAAAAATCACAAGTAGCCCATGACATACACTCACCTGGTAGCCAAACCCCGAACCCACTTAACACACCCACCTGTCCACATACATACACGCATGTGTGTATGGTTATAAATGTGTGCAAATGTATGTCTCACAGCTAGTATGCGATACAGCCAGGCACGCCCATGTTGGCTCTGCTTAGACGCATGCCAGTACGCCCTTTTCCCTACATAAACAAACACACATACACATAATATATATATATATATATATATATATGTATGTGTAAAATATATATGTATACACACCGTCTAGAACTTTAACTTTGTATTTACCGTTCTTTTTGTGACACGCGTTTGACAGTTGGCGGCATTTTGAAGTTACCTTTTCAGTTTTGCTAACTTGTCATTTGTTTGCGCTCTGATGTTGTTGTTGCGTCGCAATATGTATGGTATGTGTGCGTGTGTGTGTTTGTGCTGAAATCTGCGATAAGGCAGCCTATGCGTCATGACCACAAACATAGACCCACCCGCCGCGCCATGGCAATGGAATGTTTTTGCCAAGTCAAACCACTTGTTGGCACCGTTCCAATGGGACCAACGGCAGCAACACCAATTGCAACAAAAGACCCCATTACAACAACAACAACAGCAATAACAAATGTAGTACGCCCTTGTGCTATCTGCATATGAAAACGTTTCTTGGCGGCATAAAATATTCAAAATTCGTAATATGTTTAATATGGCAAAGATGCATTGTGTTGATATGTGTGTGTGTGCGTACGTGCGATTGTGTGTGATACATGTGAACATATTCATATGCACAGAATAAGCATGTGTTTGAAAATTTGAAAAAGCCCATCACTTGATCTGCACATGACTTATCGATAGTGATAGCGATAACAAATGGACTGTCTATTTTTGAATTGTGCATGTCATCAAAGATATTTGTCGACATCATCAATTATTTACATGCATACATGTATGTATGTGCGTGTGTGTGTCTGCATTCTATTTTGATTATGAACACCAAAATAAATAAATACGAGAATTATCTGAAACCAGCTAAAAATATATAAAACAAACAATTCCGTTCGAATTGTTAAATTTTAAATTTGTGGATAATTTTGAATTCTAGCAGATCTCTCTCTTGCTATATCTCTGCTCTTTATATAAAAAAACAACGACATTGATGTTTGCAAAATATTATATTTTATATTTAATGATTTCGTACATTTTGCAAATGTTTTTTTCTTTTTTAATTTAAACATATAGAAGATTTTATATGTAAATCGACGCCCAAAATAGAACCCAAATGACGAATAATTGCAAATTACGTTTCCAATTCTTGCGACAGTTGACAATCGCTTAAAATATAAATCTGGAACGATTCTACATGTTAGATATTATATATTTATATATGTAAATATCTTCATAGTTTAAATTTCGAAAATAAAAACTGGCAACAGTATATCGATAAATTGCTTAGCTACGCTATGCAAAGTGCATGACAGTTTTTGTCATGCGGTTGCTCAAGTGCTAAGTGCATGTTAAATTTGGCAGGAACATGTGAATGTGACCTAAAACGAGAGCAACTTTTTCGCTGATTATTCGATTATTTGCCATTGATAGTGATTGTTCTTTCTGCTTTTTTTTTTACATATATATATATTTCTCTTTCTTTCTTATCTTGTTTTGAAGTTTATTATATTACTTATTTTTCCTTTGTTTTGTTCTTTGTTATAAACAAATTTAAATTTGGTTTGTGTGTTGCTGCCCATCATGAAAACGCATACAAATTATTATGATCGTTAACCGTTACCGTTACCGTTAACCGTTACCGTTGCCGTCATATCACAACCAACTAAATCGCATTCAAATGTCATACATCTGTATAAATGTTTCAACCACGACACAAAAAAAAAAAAAACATGCAAAAACAAAAAACGTTCAGTTGCCGCGTCGAGCGAAGGGCACACTATCGAATGGCGATGGCGGAGCAGCTGGAGCAGCAGCAAGCTCGACAGGCACAGCAACAGGAACAAAGAATGACGATTGGTCAAAGTATCGTCGAGATTCTGCCATTGATAAGAAGCGTGCAGATGGCAATGATGCGACATCTAATGGCAGCAGAACGAAACGTTTGTCCAGCTCATGCTCATCATCATCCCTAGAACATTTTGTTGCCACATCCGCCCTGGACATGTACGAAAAGTACAGTCCGGCCAACTATAAACCCAACTGTGAACTGTCACGTTCCAGATCGGCGGTCAACGAAGCCGACACTGACAACCGCAACAACAGTAATAGCAACAGCAACAGCAATAGCAATAGCAACAGCAACATCAACAGCAGCAGCAGCAATGATAACAGCACCACCTGCACCGTGACCGTGGACAGGCCGCGCAGCAGCCGCTACAGCCGCCTGTATAGCAGCAGCAGCGATGCCGGCGGCGATACCGGCGCAAGCGAAACAACACACACAACCAGGCAACGCAGTGGCTCCGGGCGATACACGATAACCGCGAGCAGCAGCAGCGGGGATGTGCCAACGGCCACGTTCACGCTGCGCAACAATCGAGCACGCCGCACACAGGATGTGACACCTGCCTCAACAGCGACAGCGTCAACCATCATCACCAATGGCCACGCGACGACGGAGGACAGCAGCAATGGGCTGGAGGCCAAGCTTAACGGACTCTCGCTGCTGTCGTCGTCGCCCAAGCGCAATGCAATCTATGATAGCTCCAACGCTGCGGCAGCGGATACCACAGACGATGCGGTGGCATCGACGTCGTCTGATGTGAATAGTCTGACCACAACGGTCACAGTTGCCAAGGCTAGGGCCAATGCCACTGCGAGTACCAATGGTGATGTCAACGGCGACGCTGATGGCGATGGTGATGTCAGTGCGACGGCGACGCTGACGCTGGCTGAGGGCGCCACTGCGCGCAGCAAGGTAAACAATGATGAAAGTTAAACAAAAATAAAAACCGAGCCAGGATATCTAAGCACCTGACACAGGCATTCAGAAAATTGCAAATGCTAACAAATTTAAATTACTAATCGCATGCCAGAGTTGCCACCCTAGACGAGCAGCTGCCAAGCGATAATGCGATAACATACTGCTCAACTAACTATCGAAATTTGAATATTTGCGCGTCTTTTGCTTGTGTGTGCGTGTGTATGTGACTTTATGCATTGTTGCTTCTGCCATGCTTTCAAGATGGAAAAGAAATACATAATAATTAAAACCCACCCAGCCTCAAACCCGATCCCATTCCTGGACCTTCTGTGTTAGGATAAATTAGTATTCATACTGCGGTTACGGTCGGTCGGCCAAGCAATCAACAATCATTATGCATATGTATGTCTATATATATATAATTATATATAAATATATAATTATAATTATTAACGATTTATAAAAAAGAAGAAAACAATTCGTGTACATACACGTATGTGTATAGACATATATTGGAATCTCACTTGGCATTTATATTGTTTCTGTTGGATCCATGTTTCTCTGTTGTTTCATTTTGATACGATCTGGCTTTCTCTTTATTTGATTCGTTTTGTGGCTAAACACCTTTACACGCATCTCTCAAATATTCAAACTACATCTATATATATGTGTGTATTTCTATATATTTTTAGCTATACTCTCGCAGTGCGCGTCCCTTTTAACTAACCAAACTAACTCACTTGATTATTAACTGTCAATACCTGACGAGGGCAAAAATCATAGAACTATTCAATCCAGAGCAATCGAAACCAAAAACCAATATATATACATATAAATATATATAGTTGTATATGTATATTTATATATATGTATATATATGTATGTATATATATGTATATATATATATTGTATATATATTATGTAACGCAACTGCAACTGTAATTAGTAGAACTGATCGAATCGATAATAATCTAGGCAGGCGCTCCAAACATAGTTCAAAGCATCCAAATTTGAAAAAGTTTTAGTTTAACGCAGTAGTTTGTATTCACAAACAGTCCAAATGTGTGTATAATGTAGTTTTGAGAGTATGTATTTTTGGTAAGCACAACACACCTATTCAAATTTAATGAAAATAAGTTGAACAAACACAACAAGAAGGACATAAAGAGCCCGTAGAATAATAATAACTTTAATAATAATAATTACAATCACGCAAATAATATTAATAATAATAATAAAAAAAAAAACATCAAGGCGGATTAAATTAAATCATCAATATATACAAGAAGCAATAATTGGTTAAAAAAAAATAAAATAAAAAATAAAATAAAAAAATAAAAATAAAATTAAAAAAAAAATCTAGAAAGAAAAACAAAGGAAATCAAATCCAAAGTCACATTGCATCGTGTGTAATCGCCAGCCGCAGCAGCAGCAGCAACAGCAGCGAGCGCACGATAAGCAGCTGTTGAATGATGTTAGACATTAAGAAAACCAGAGGATTCCATAAGATTCCAGCGTCCAAACTGCAGCGGGAGGCAAACACTGCGGCATCAGCAGCAGCTGCAACGATAACTGACGAACACCAGCAGCAGCATCACCACCACTACCACCACCACCACTACCAGCAGCAACAGCAGAAGTCACAACAAAGAGGCAACAGTCATAGCCATAGTCATAGCCAGCAACAGCTGGCCCAGGCCCATCACAGTCAGAGTCAGAGTCAGCACCAGGGTTCGTCACGGCACGCCAAGTCATTGAAAACTAGTGCTAACAGTGGGCTTGGAGTCGGCGTCACTGTCCAGAAGCCGGTGACTTCACTCAAATACGCCGCCAGCAACGGGCCAAGCGGCAGCAGTGGACGGGCGGCGGCGGGTGGCAGCGTGAATCCGGTGCGGGCGGCGAATCAGCGCTATTTTTTGGTATCCAGCTACAAAGATCCCAGCTTCTTGAAGGCCGAGTGCGATTTGGCGCATGCCCAGGTAACGCTCAAGCAGGCGCCAGTTGGTGGCAAGACGCACAAGCGCAACAAGGCACTCGACGATCACAAGAATAATAATAAATCAGCAGCAGCCGTGATAGCTAACGGCACTGGCAACGAGACGTCAGTTAGTGAAATGCGTCGAACGACGACGCTTAATGGCAATAAAGCGGGCGGGACCAGCAGCAACAGCAACAGTACCAGCACCAACAACGCCAATAGTGGCGTCAACTCGTCAAACAGAACAACAGCAACAGCAACAACAACGACGACGACGACGACAGCAACAACAGGAGCTGGCAACTCAGCCGTCCACAGGATTGATATCAAGTATAGCCATAGCCAGAGCCATAGCCACAGCCATAGCCATAGCCATAGCAGTAAACAGCAGCTGACATTGGGCCAAAAGACAACTGTTGCAGCAGGAACAGCGGCAACATCCTCAGCAGCAGCAGCAGCTGGAATTGGAGCTGGGCGACTTGTGGCTGGTAAACTGAAGCCTTTATTGCTGCACTGCAACAACAATCATAGTGCGATGAACAGTCATAGCAGCTACAATAATAATAACAACAACAACAGCAGTGCCAGCAACAATAGCAACAGCAACAACAATATGCAACGCCAGCAGCAGCAGCAGCAACAACATGACGACATTAGCTACATTGATAGCGACGATATACCGACCAGCATAACAACAACAGCGGCGACTGCAGCGGCAGCGGCAGCAACAACTACAGGTTCATCAGCAGCAATAATAACAACAACAACCGCATCGGGCGCCATATCATCTAGCCAAAAGATGACAAACATTTGCTACTTCAAGCCCATAACGCCGCCACTGCAGCTGCGCAACCAGCAGCTGGGCGGAGATAAGTCCAATGGTGGTCAGCGCTCGATCCGGCCAAAGTCGACGATAGTCACGTTCACCAATTCGAACTTTGCGGCCAGCTACGAGAAGTTTAACAACTACAAGCACACAAATGGCGAACAGCGGCCCAAGGAACGGGAGCGGGATCGGGACCGCGAACGGGACCGGGACCGTCTGGAGCGAGACAATAGCGCCGGCAGCAGCAGCAATGCGCGACGGTATGGCATCGATTCGGTCAGCATTAAGGCGTCCATTGAGAAGTTTAACAATCTGAGCGAACAGAAGCGACAACCGGGACCGTTGCGGAATAATGCCAATAATGGCTCGACAGCAGCAGCGGCGACAGCGGCAGCAGCTGCAACAGCATCGGCAACAGCAGCAGCAGCCACGGCGGAAGGCACCTCAAACAGTGCTGGCGGCAGCAGCAGCAATCTGCAGCAGCGCTTCAGCGGGGACATGGAACATACACGCATTGCGGCTGGGTATAGCAGCTCCTTGACGCGAGCCGCCTATCGCACCGGCAGCAGCAACAGCAACAGCAATGCAGCAACGGCAACGGCGACTGCAACAACAGCGACAGCAGTGGCAACAGCAGCATCGTCATCAGCTGTGGCGCCCATGAGCAAGTCGGCCAGTCGGATTGCCCACGGCCTGTTGGCGAAGGCGGCCAACTCGGAAAATGCTGGCACAGCGATGGCAACAACCGCAGCAGCAGCTGCGGCAATGACACCAACAACAACGGCCAATGTATTGGCCAACAACAGCAACAAGGTAAATGTGCACCTTCATCACAACAACGACACGGCGGGAGCAGCAGCAGCGGCAGCAGCAGCTGCTGCTAACTCGACCAGCGCCTACACTTACTCTGCCGCCGCCGCAATCAGCAGCGTCGCAGCCAACGACAGCGTAAGTGGCGCTCAAATAGCACTTGGGGCAGGCGCCCAGTGCCCAATTTCTCTCTCTCTCTCTCTTCCCGCTCTGTCTCTCTCTCTCTCTCTCTTTCTCTATTTCTCTTTATCTCACATTATGTGTTTTAGTTTTGGTTTCTTCAACTATTTAGAGTCTTGAGCAATTGCTAAAGGCGCTGCTGTCTCAGCGTTCATGTCCATTCTTATCACAAGCACAGACTACAACACCGTTATTTGTTTTAATTTTTCAGCCAACCAACAAACAAACAAATATATATATATATATTAATCATCATTTTGTGTGTCTGTGTGTGAGTGTTTGATTTTATTGTAGATTTCTTTTTACCTACATATATATAGTATACGTATATACATATATTTTTGTGTAGGATTGCAGGAGCAATGCGTTTTGATTTCTAATTGGATTGTGGTTTCGTTTTGCCTTTGTTATCGATACAGTCAAATGAAAAATAATCGATTTGATGTTTGGTTTCATTTTGTGCCCTTTTGTTTTATTTTAGCTAACCCTCGCCTGCTTCAACTGCCATGTTATTATTCGTTAAGATTCGTTAAGTTTGCATGCCACAATTTATTTATATCCTTTTTTATTGTTAGCCGCCATACACATACACACGCTCACGCGCACACCAACATACTCACACTCACCTGCTCGCTCTCACACCGATACCAACGCCAGCCAATATCGATAGATGCATCCATTTCTAATAATCGATTGCTCGCTGCTTTTGAATAACTGACTAATTTGATCATTGTATTTATTTATGTATTTTATTTTTTCGTTTTACCTCTGCCTCTTTGCGTGTTACGTATCACTAAATTGAAATTGTGTTTTGTGCAGGGATCGCGCAATGCCACAAGCAGCACTCGCTCAGTGCTGCCGCCAGTGTCGCCGACGCCGAGCCGTTACTGGCGGGATCAGGACAGCGGACGGAACAGTACCAACGCCACAACCTCTTCCATTGGCTCATCGTCGCTAAGCACGAAGCATAATAGCCTGGACGAGGGCTACAAAAGCAGCCGTGATGAGAAGCTCGAGGGTGAGTAAGGATCTTCCTAAGTTCAAAGAAGCAGACTAGATCTCCTGATATGAAGAGAAGTTGTGTATGCGTTCCATATATATGTATATCGATCACTACTATGTTTACGAACTGTGATATAATACTCCATTACATTCATGACTGCGATCTAAAAAATTGTAGTAGTATATATTAGAAATATATTTTAATCAACTATGCCATGCAAAAGGTGTGCTTTAGAGTTCATAGAACTATAAATTGTAAAACAAATAGGCATTAACTTTTTTTTCGATGCAAGCAATAGACAGTAATAAATTTTGTTCGTGTAACATATACATATATATTTATATATGTGTATATATAATTTATATAAACAGTATCACATGCGTATACATACATATATTTACATATAGAAAGAGAGTGAGAGAGATAGAAGGCGCAGCGTTACAGATTTCGGAAGAACAAGAAGAGGTATATGTATAATTTGATATGCAGATGTATATATATATATACGTATAAATATATATATAAAAATTATAATATTCTTACTTTCGCCCTAAAGTAAGCTGTGCCCGGCCCATTGGTAATAGATGTCAGTTAGATTGTTTCAGTATGCCAGTTGACATAGTGAGCCAGAGATACATACGTAGGAGCTTCCGCATAAACTAGATCTCAAATCCATTCAAAATGGCCGTCAATCGAACGCGAAGAAGGCAAATCAGTAACACGCCATCCGAATTGGGGAGTGCCTATTGGGCCACGCCCAGTTAGCTATAATAACACCAATGGCTTATAATAATTAAAAATTTTGATTGAATCCCATTGCCCACAGGTCTATGCGGTCTGAGAAATATTGGAAACACTTGCTTCATGAACTCGGTCATCCAATGCCTGAGTCACACGACTGAGCTGACGCGCTTCTTGCGCGCCCATCATACCAACACGCGCACGGCAACCTCCAAGGATCAGCAAATACTATACGGCAAGTATTCAATTTTTATAATATTACATTATATTCTTATAAATCTATTTATATATCTGTTGCATTACAGAATTTGCCAAACTCATACAGGAAATGTGGACGGCAAATGTGCACAGTGTAACGCCGATGGAACTGAAGCGTGCCTTTTCGACAAAGCATCGCATGTATAGCGATTACAATCAGCAGGATGCGCAGGAGTTTCTGCGCTTCTTTCTTGACTCGCTGCACTCGGCACTGAACACCGGTGTCAAGGGTGAAACGCTTAACATTGACGATAATCTCAGGTGAGTGCTTAATTGCACAACAAATAACTTAGACACGAAACTAATCTATGTGGATTGTATTCAATTGCAGTGACAATAAGAAGGCCGATCTGACTTGGGAGTGGTATGCCAGGCATGAGAATTCCCTGATACGAGATTTGTTTGTTGGTCAATTGAAGAGCACACTGAAGTGCACAACATGTGGCAATACTAGCGTTACCTTTGACCCATTCTGGGATCTGAGTGTGCCACTACCATCGTCATCGCGCTGCAAATTAGAAGCCTGCTTAGATTTGTTCATTAGAGAAGAGGTGCTAGATGGCGACGAGATGCCCACATGCTCCAAATGCAAGACACGCCGAAAATGTACCAAAAGCTTTACCATACAGCGTTTCCCCAAATACCTGGTGATACGTAAGTGCAACTGAACAACATGACTATATAAAGTATATGTGCACATATGATTTACGTTTGTTTTGCTTTTGCTGCTTCTTGCAGATCTAAAACGTTTCTCAGAAACACGCTGGAGCAAGCTCTCGAATATTGTTGAGTTCCCTACGGCGGATCGGGAGCTCAATATGGCCTCATATGGGGCAAACGCAAATTCGAATGTGCATTATTCGCTCTATGCGATCTCCAATCATATGGGTATGTTCCAGTCCATTGCAACAAATGTAGCAAGTGCTAATCATACTTATTTCTTAAACAGGCTCAACGGCTGGCGGTCACTACGTGGCCATCTGTAAGCATCCAGTCTCACGCAAGTGGCATGAGTTCAATGATAATAGGTACGTATACATTCATGCAATAGCCTCTGAATTATTATATTGGTCTTGATTGATTAATTGTTCATATTTACGTACTCATTGTAGCGTTAGCGATGCTATCCCCGAGAACTGTCTCGTTTCATCCAGTGCCTATATCTTATTCTACGAACGAGCGTAAAGCTAACTCTAACTAACTACTCTACAACATCCTGGCAGTTGAATGCAAAACGTATGTTGCGACAGCAACAATACCAACAGCATCAACACCACAAAGAAAATAGGGGAAACAATAGAGGAAACATTAAAACGACTAAGAACAAAATGAAAAATGAAAGTGCATTAAGAACAGCAAGTCGACCCCTTAGTAAATGTTTCGTAGAATTTTGCAAATTGTGCAAACGTGCGTAAATTTAAATTTAAATTTAACTATAAACTAATCAAGTCCAATTCCAAATAACAACAATGCCGGAATTGGATGGCAAAGCATGTATATGGCGATCATTGGAGGCGAATGATGTAAATAAGATAAATGGATTAAACCCAAAAACAGACACCAAATAAGAACGTAAAACACATCAAGAAAAAACAGAAAAAATAGTAATGAACGAACAAAATACAAGAATCAAACAATTTATGTAAGACAGCTTTCGGCAAGCCAGAAAATATAGAATTGCAGCCATCGGTCAACAATAGACAAAAAACAAAAGCTCTTAACCTAAGTATAAACAAATACCTTAAAGCTAATTCAAAAGCAGGGGCTAAACAAAAGAAAGGAGATCTTAGGAAAGAACTAATGCGAAGCAACACAGAAACACTGGAACAGCAACAAAATTGTTATTTCTTCAAAATTTTGTCTTGCATTCCTCTGGCATATATATTTATTTAGTTTTCTTAGCGTCTTTATTGGAAATTTTGACCTATCCTACCAGTCATTGCATATATAGAGTAACAGAAAGAAATCCACACTCTACGTATGTAGCGTATGTAAATGTATGTATATATGTTTATATATATTATCTATGTGTATCTATATGTACAGTTGACCGAAGGCCAATCCGAGCTAAATATTAAAGCAAGATTGGTTTGCCGAAAGTCGTGTCAAGTGGTTGTGTAAAAAAGAAACTAAATTAAAAACAAAACACAAAGAGAAACAAAGAAACGAAAGATAAAAAGCAAATAGCAACAAGAAACCAAACACAATTGCTTAAGAACTTTCAAGAAAATGAATTGCAATCAACTACTTAATTGCAAATTCTCCTAAACTTGTGCAATGTATATCAGTATATATTTCATAAAAAAGCAACAACAGCAACAAAAAAAAAAAAAAAAAAAAAAAAAAAATTGATTATGTAACAATTTTTTTTTTTTTTTTTTTTTTT